ATCCCCCATTCACCAGGGCCGCTGTGTTCCTTGATTACAGTGTCATGTACTCAGGGTTAGCCTCATTCCAGCGTCAGAATGTTCACAAATACCAAAGGTAAAGTAAAGAATGCACAACTGCAACGATACAAACCCTTAGAAATTTCACCGACCTTGACTGCAACACATGAATATTCTGCACAAAATCGAGGATAACCCCGAGCAAAAGAGAACCCGAAACAGGAGCATTTAGAAATTAGAACATTTCCACAATCAAGTGCCTTTTTAGAGGACCTTCTCTATTACCCTATAGACTTATGAGCATTTCCAAGACTCAGCAAAAAACTGGGTCGAAACTTTGGTTTCGAAAGATGTTTCTGAAAAGCCTGCCTACTAGGAAAACATACTAAAGCATGTATGTAAGATCCAATAAAAAGTTTAAATTTCAGGCCCACTAAAAATTTATGTCCTAACTGCTTGTGAATGGTTTAAGGTCTGCGATCACCGTTAACTTGGTCGATCCCAGTCCTTCACGGATTCTAAAAATGGCTAATAATAACTTGACAATGGTTCTTGTTATTTTCCCTGCGCATGGGCAACCAAATCCCTTCCTTACTGGAGAACCTGCAGTAAAGACGACTGGGTCTAGAGTCAAGAGTGCTCAAGGTTTCAGCCAGATAGAATACGTAATAGAGCATTATTCGTACGACTGTGAAAAGCTTGCAGCACAAACACTGTCACGACACGGCAAAGGTATACGCAAGACCAATCACATCGAGCGAGATGAATACGCCAAACTAATCACAGAAATCAGCCAATCAAAATTCTAGAAAACATCACGGTCGCGGTCACGGTATAAGGCACGCAGACGTCACCGAACTTTCTACAGGCATACGAAAACTACTCTAACGTAGTGTGGTGAATAGCTTGCACACCACACCAATCGCACGTGGTATTTCTATGAAAGATTACGAGTAAAATATAACATATACAAATATAATAAACTATACTTAGCCCAAAAACCCGCGCACAAGTACGAATCTAGATTAGTTAACGTCTTAGATTTAGTTCCGATTGGTCGAACAAAATCACCGTTATCTAGATCTACCGAGGAATGCGACACGCCTATTTAGAGGCAGTACAGTTGTGTTAAACGTGTGGCGTTCCATCCTCGCCAAAATTGATGGTTTGTATTTGAATTCATCACATGAATTTTGCACTTTGTTATATTTTGATAAAAAAACGATAGTTCAAAGGTGTCATTGCTAAGGAATACTTTATGACTTTTTTTCCATTCACTACTGCAACAAACATTGACTATTTTGTCAACTAAAGCCAACAAAGCTATTGTTTTTTATGGCGTTCCAAGGTCAACCGAGCTCACCGGAGCGTGAAGTTGAGTTGAAAATAAAAGTCGTCGAGTTTGTAATGTGAAACTCRAAGGACAAATACGTGGCGTGGAGTTTAGAATGAATCAGCGACAATCAAGAATGTAAAACTTGAACGACAAATATTAAACACGTATGTTGAACCCTTGATGAAGCATATGAAATACGAGATGGTAACAAAAAAACTTACTCGAATGCAAAATTCATGTGATGAACTTCAAATACATACCATCAATTTTGGCGGGGATTGAGCGCCATATAAACGTAATAGATATCTATTTACAAACTATGCGTTGGCGGATCTAGGGATGAACAGTTCATGGGTTGTCCTTACGCACGCCTTACAAGCCTTGCAACCTAATGGTCCTAAAATATTTTGTCAATCAAAGTTATGGGGATGGCTATCTAAACCCTGAAACAACGTCTGGCCGCTGATCTAAGTCAGGGCCCGGCTTACTCACAGATCGAACCCTGAAACAACCTCTGGTCTGATCTAAGTCAGGGCATGGCTAACTCGCAGATCGAATTCTTAAACAACCTCTGGGCTGATCTAAGTCAGGGCATGGCTAACTCACAGATCGAACCCTTAAACAACCTCTGGGCTGATCTAAGTCAGGGCATATCTAACTCACAGATCGAACCCTTAAACAACCTCTGGGCTGATCTAAGTCACACAACCCGTTAGGCCCAGGGTGTGACCCGTGGAGAATTGTGCGTAATTAGCTCCCAAGACTTGTGTTTCTGAATTAAAGCACTTACTGAAATCCCTATATCTGCCCTTGCTATGATTCCATCTTATCTTGTATCAATAGTATATAGCTTGATAACAGTAGAATTCTTGATAACACTAGGCCAGCCACAGTAAAACGAAGGCTGAAGGAGCATTAGATGATAAGTGAATTGTTTTTGACCAACTTGGCGTAAGGATTAAGAAGAAAAAGCGTGTAAATTGCCCATTTGACTTAAACCAGATTGAATATGTGCTACGTGGATTTCCACATGATTCTGAAAACAGCTGGAAAAAATGAATAAATAACCAAAATTAATATACAATAAATATATGAAATCTACAAAGATTGCTAATTGTTTTTGTAAACATTACAAGAGAGATGTGAGAAAGAGTCTGAATGCTTCGACTGTCTTATTTTTCTTATGAATATTGTATATTTATGTAAATGGGATTCAAAGCTAGGACTTTGAGACATTTTGCAATACTTTTCTTTCATTCTGTATATTTGATGTGTATATTTATGTAGATGGGATTCTAAGGACTTTGAGACATTTTGCATTACTTTTCTTTCATTCTGTATATTTGATGTGTATATTTTATTAATAAGTGCAAGATAATGGGAATGCACTAAAACTAAATTATTATTACTATTATTATTGTTATTATTATTATTATTATCATTATGGTGCAATCCAGCTGAATTCCCCGAAAGGAATTATGGGTCAGCTATTTTTGGTTAGCATTTTCCGAACAAAGACTGGTTCAAATGGAATTCTCCAGTTTTGAATTCTCTGTTGTATAGGGTAAGCCTCATTTTCGTATGGTAGTTATTTTGAATAACTATTTATTCCAGTGAAGGTCCGTGGAATTTCACAGTGTTTGTATTGTTGAAGTTGTGCATTCTTTACTTAACCGTTCGGTATTTGTGAATATTTAGACACTGTTTCGAGGCTAATCCTGTATAAACAAGTCTAAGATCAAAAATGGTCGATACGGCCATGAGTTTGACTATGGCGTTTACGACCAATTTAAAGAATAAAAAATTAGTATTTATTGGATTCTCTAGGCAAAATCATGGGAAATGCCAATCAAAATACCAAGTCGAATCCTCAATTCTGATTGATTGACCTTGAGTTTGTTTTAAAGGTCAACTCAGCTGGAAGTTTTCCCATTTCAGACAACGTGACATCCCCTAGAGTATCATTTCTTTGTTAATGTTTGCGCATGAGAAATGGATACAACTTAAACAAAGAATCTTATTCTCAGACCAGGTGTCATTCTCTAGAGTATCATTTCTTTGTTTAATGTTTGCGCATGAAAAGATACATGAATATGGATACAACTCAAACAAAGTATCTTATACTCTAGGGAATGACACGTTGTCAGTAATGGAAAAACTATTGCACTACGACAAATAAGATGTATTGATCTCCCAGAGTATCAGGAGATTTCTAGTATAGGTCAGGTGCACTACGATGAGACCAGAAAGTATACCCCTTACCTTTCATTACTTGGGTCTATTGTAGTTTTAATTTCCTCTACCGCATCTGATAATGACTTGAACTCGAACGTATTCAGTTCGTTCTCTGCTAGTGACTACAATTGAAAGATGAGAAAGAAAACGAATAAATGAATGAAAAATGGGATACACATCCCTGTAA